AAATGTTTGAACAGCGAGCACTCGAGTGAAGCCTGACTAATTCTCTGGGTTTTCGCCATTCGGAGCGCCTCAAATCGCACTTTTCCCCAGCGATGGCCAGCAGTAGTAGTAGCAACAACTCCTCGGCCAACAATCACGGAGGCCACAATCCGCTCAACCGACTGTCCCTGAAATCCGCCGGAAAGCGAAACCAGGAGAGCATGTCCCATTCCCAGCCGAATGGCGGATGGATAAATGGTAAGGCGGAAAAACTAGGGGAAAACATCAAGGAAAAGCGGGAAGGGGAGCGGGAGCGGGAGGAGGGGCAGACAGGTGCCCTGTGTCTGTGAGTTATTGATTTTTCACACAACTCAAACAGTGTCGCCAGGGGGCGGAGGGCGTAGCGAAGGGGGGCGCTGTCTGGCAACACAAACAACAACAACAACTGCAGTCGACTGCGTTGCTATTTTGAGACGCTCCACTTTTAGAGTACAGCAGAACCCCTGTAACTAGAACTCCATCCATAAATCAGAAAAATTATGGATAATTCAGAAAAATTGTGGATAATTTAGAAATATTATGGAAGATTTTAAAGCAATTTTATTGTAGTTAGCATAGACAAAAAAAATGTCTTAAAATGTCTCATAAATTGAAAAGGTCGAGGTTAATTAAACCATAAATTTTTACGAAGTTAGGAACGTAAATATACTTTATAGCTCCTCATAAAAAATGGATCCATAAAAAAATAACTCGTAACATCCAGAACCATTAATAATTCCATTAAGTTGTATTTAAATAATTGGATTATTTTTCCTGACATGTAAAATAAAATTATTAAAAAATAATTACTCATAACATTCAGAACAAAATTCCGTTAAGAATACCATTAAAATAACAAGTTAAAAGAGCGTTGCACTGAACCCCTATAATATTTAATCTTAAAAAAACAGAATTTCTTCAGGTGTGCTCTTTCGCTTTTCACCAAAGCTTCACTGTATTTGGGGTGTAATAATTGTGGAAAAAAGGGGAGACCCTGGCATTTGTTATTTACGATGCACGCGCAGCGGAAGTTGCACAAATGTGGCCACGCGTGCTGCTGGTTCTAAGCGAACTGGGTGGGATGATCAGCTCTAGTACAAACCGAGTAACCCAAATTTTAACCCACTTTTCTAATCTCCTCCGCAGTGGAAACCCTCAACAATGGCAACGGGCTGCTCCACTCGCCGCCCCATAATCACCAGCAGCAGCAGCAGCAGCAACAACAGCGAGGCGGAGGAGGAGCATCGCCAGCTGGAGGCGGAGGAGGGGCCTCTGCCTCCGCCGATCACAATATCCAGATAACGCAGCCCATCAGCGCCCCATCCTCGCCGTTGGCCTCGCCGGGCGCCCTGAACAGCAGCAGCAGCAGTGGCGGCGGCACAGGAAGTGGCGGCGGAGGAATCTCCGGCAGTCCCACTGCCTTCTGTCTGCCCTCCAGTTCCGCTGCGGCGGCCGTGGCTGCCATTTCGGCAACGCCAACCAGCGGCAGTGGATCGTATGTGTGCTCCGCCGGAACCAACTGGCATTTCGCAGCCGTGGCGGCCTCCAATGCCATCGATACGGCGGATCCCAACTGGCAGGCCAGCAAGGCGACGGTTCTCGAGAGGAACGCAGCCATGTTCAACAACGAACTGATGTCCGATGTCAAGTTCATTGTGGGCGGCGAGTTCGGTAGGTGTTGTCTATACTCCCTAACTCACTTATCTAATCTGTAAAAGTATCTTTCACAGACATTGATCCCATTCAGACCATTCCCGCCCACAAATACATTCTCGCCACGGGCAGTTCCGTGTTCTATGCCATGTTCTACGGCGGACTGGCGGAGAACAAGCAGGAAATCAAAGTGCCTGACGTGGAGCCCACTGCCTTTCTAACGTTGCTGAGGTGGGATATTAAAATTGGATTTTAATATAAATATAAATTTGATGTTTATGTCCCCCCTTAGGTACCTCTATTGTGATGAAATCAAACTGGAACCTGAACACATTCTGGCCACTTTGTATGCCGCCAAAAAGTACATTGTACCGCATTTGGCCAGGGCCTGCGTCAACTATCTGGAGGTGAAGTTGACGGCAAAAAACGCCTGCCTACTTCTCAGTCAATCGCGTCTGTTCGAGGAGCCCGAGCTGATGCAACGTTGCTGGGAAGTGATCGACGCGCAGGCCGAGATGGCGGTTAAGTCCGAGGACTTTGTGGACATTGACCTCAAGACGTTCGAGTCGATACTCTCGCGGGAGACGCTCAACTGCAAGGAGATCCACCTGTTCGAGGCGGCCCTCAACTGGGCCTTGAATGCCTGCGAGAAGATGAGCATCGATGATACGCCGCAAAACAAGCGAAGGCTGCTGGGACAGGCGCTGCATCTCATCCGCATTCCCACCATGTCGCTGGAGGAGTTTGCCAACGGTGTGGCCCAGACGGGCATTCTCTCGTCGCAGGAGACAATCGATATGTTTCTGCACTTCACCGCCAAGATGAAGCCGTCGCTGGGCTTTCCCACTCGCTGCAGAGCGGGACTGAAGACCCAGGTCTGCCATCGTTTTCAGTCGTGCGCATATCGCTCAAACCAGTGGCGCTACCGCGGACGCTGTGATTCCATTCAGTTCTCAGTGGATCGAAGGTGAGTTAAGGCACTCAGTTAATAGATAATATAGATAAATTAATATCTTCCCATTGTAGAATCTTCATCGTGGGCTTTGGACTCTATGGCTCGTCGACTGGCGCAGCCAACTACAATGTAAAGATCGAACTTAAGCGCCTGGGTCGCACGCTCGCCGAAAACGATACCAAGTTCTTCTCGGACGGATCGAGCAACACGTTCCATGTATTCTTCGAAAATCCCATCCAGATCGAACCGGAGTGCTATTACACCGCCTCCGTAATCCTCGATGGGAACGAGCTCAGCTTCTTTGGCCAGGAGGGAATGTCGGAGGTGCTCATGGGCAACGTGACATTCCAGTTCCAGTGCTCGTCGGAGAGTACGAATGGCACTGGAGTGCAGGGTGGTCAGATCCCGGAGCTGATCTTCTACGGACCCACCACCGTGACCGCAATGAGTTCGCCCACCAACTCGGTGTGTGCCACGCCCATCGGTGGTGGTGGATCAGGCAGTGGAGGAGCCACTGCAGCAGCAGCGGGAACAGCTACGTCAAATGGTAATAATGCCAACGGTTCTGGGGAGGATCCGGCCGGCGATGGAAGCACCTGATGCGCACAGCTCTACTGCGCCGAGTGGCAGGGAGCGTGTTACTACCGCCAGCAGCAGCAGCAGCAGCAGCAACCGAAGAGACCAACACAATACAAAACACAGCAGCCGCAACAGCTACAGATACAAAATCGAAACTCATGGGTTTTCAGTGCAACACAACAAAGCAAATTGGAGTTTTAGGCGCATATACCTATATATATATATATACCAAGATAGTAGAGTGCTCTAGTTTTCGTAATAGTCCTATATATAGTCATATATACACGTAAAAGCATAGACACATATATATACACCTCGGCAGTGCGTTTTAGAGCTTTGAGACGGTTGTCCGAACAAGAAAGTCATTCGTTGCAAGTCACTCGATATTAGGATTTTTTGGACAATTATCCCAAGTATGTTAAGCAAGTTAATCTCAACGGTTTTGCAGTTCTAAGACGCACTGTACATAGTTTGTTGGCAATGCATATAAAAATATTTTCAAAATCGAAACAAGTTGAACATATACACCCAGAACTATATAGATGCAGATTAGTAGTTGACTCGAAAACTTAATACGTTCCACGATTTGAGAGGGCGGGATGGGGGTAAAAAAAAGGGCGCTAAATAGAGACGCATACATAAATGCAATAAGTGAAAATCGGGCAATCAGTCAAGCTAGCGTTAACCACTATTCTAAAGAGAGTTAAGGGGAGAGTGGAAATAAACTAGTACGATATATACCAAACATATTTTTGCCAGCATATACCTAACATATATACACATCTGATCTGATAATGATATATACACCTATAAACTCGAAGGGATAATAAGCCATGTTAAGAAATGCATACGACGAATTTGAAAGCCAAGTTAACCAGTTTACGCAGTAGGAAACGACAGATGAATCAAAGGATCTAGTACGAGTATGCGCACAAAATCCCTAAATATATATTCGAATATTAATCTTGTAGTATGCATTATCTCTATTTCGTAGTTGTTCCATTATAGCTCTCAAACATACACATATGCCTTTCTACTGATATTAAGCCCCGTACTTTGCTCCTGTGCATTATTATATAGGCTGCTCTGCGCAACAATCAGTTTTACGTTCGACTTTTGAATTCCTTTGGAAATTGTACTGATTTTTTGCTTTTGATAAGACAACTACCGTTTTTTTATATACATATAACTATATGAATGAAAATGTTATCCTATACTGATTATGAATCTATTACCATTATGTACTTTAATCAAACAAAATACATTATTAGATTTTTGCGAATTTACGTTTCGATAGTTTGAATTGGAATTGGTTAAGGGAGTTTTTTTTAATGGTAAGTTTGAAGAAAAACTGAGAATTTAAACACTACCTTTAGTGAAAGATAACTCCTTTGAAATTTAAATTTGCCAAAAGGACCACATGATCAATATTTTGTGACGATTGTCCTTCTCTCACCCTCTTAAAAATTTGATATTTTTTAAAGATCAAAGATATATCATTTTGATATGAATAAAGATTATGTTAATCTTTTTTATATTATTTGCTCAAAAAATACTACATTTGGTATATTTGATGATATGATAAAATATCATGTTGAAATGTTTAAATCTTAAATTTGACTTCGGCTTTTTATTGATATGAAATAAGCTAGAAATAACACTATTTCATATCGGTTTTTTTCTGTGTACTATGTTCTATCTTATTTTCACTTTTGCTAAGAAATTACTTGATAAACTGTGCATCCTAATTATGGCTTCAAGTCGAGATAATTTAGTATTCATGACATGCACTCACCCACAGACGGTATGTTGATACAAAGGGCGTGTGATAGCTTCAAGTAGGTTCGACCCAGCTCATAGGAGCAGATCTGCTGAACGTCGCTGATGTCGATGAGAAGATCTGGGGGCAAAATGAGCCAGGGATTAGATACTCCATAGAACAAAACAAATGCTAGACTTACGGGAGGTGCCCTCCGTCCTGCAGGTCATGTAAACGCAGGCGGCGTAGATGTGGGTGCTCTTCCTGCCTCGGGTCAAATGCCTGCTCAAGGCCATCTTAAAGAAGTTCAAAGCAGTATCCGCATAGTGCTGGGATAGCTGCAGCTGCTGGCAGAGGAGGGTGATGTCCTTCTTGGCCTTCTTGATGGTCACCTCGCGCGATTCGGTGCCCGAGCCCACCTGGAACTTGCCGTAGCCGTAGTTGGTGGCCCCGCCCGAGGACTCGGCGGACACGAACTGGCCAATTGCGGCTGCTCCATGGCCAACTTCCTCGAACTGAACCTCCGAAACGATGAGGGAGTCCTCCAGCACAGAGCCGCAGTTCATGCAAACTACAATGGGAATGGGATATGGTAAATCACATGGGCGTTTCTATAAGTACATCCGTAACCTACCCCGATCTCCGCGAGCATTGTCCTCCTCGATCTCGTTGGATCCGCAATTGCGACATTTTAAACCCGAAGACATGGCTGCTGTTTTCTTCTCACTTTATCAGGGGTCTCTTAAAGTTTACAGTATCAACAGAAAGGTTTTATTTTGAAGCACTGTTTAAACAGTTTTAACCACTTGTTGGCTGTCAATTCGGAGCATTTTACGTGTTTTGTTTAAACAATTTGCAATTTGTTGCCAATTGAACTTAACACGCTTAGAAATCAGCTGTCCCGGGAACGTTTTGCAACACTACGCTAAATTACCTAGAGATGTGCATCTGACATGCACAAGATACTCACGAAGCAAGGTTTGAAAAACTCACGATGGTTTAATACAAATATTTAGTACCTAAAGAGTCAAAATCTGCCAAGTGGGCCACCCCTGTTCCGAAGGTCCGATTTTCATCGAACTTTTTTACTTTTCCGGTTCACAACGAAAATATAAGAACTTCATTTGAACGGTTTTGCGAAATTTTGAGTTTTACCGGAGTTATAGGGGTCAAAACATGGCATTTTTGACACTTTTTCGAAAAAGTTGCACTCAGTCATTAATTCATAACTTCGGAACGGTAAGAGATATCTTTATGATGTTTTCACTAATCGCTCAAGAATTATTATGGCTTTCCATAAAAAAATTTAAAAAAAATTAAAATTTATTTTTCTTAAAAATAAATCAACATTTTTTTAGTTTTTATTTTTTTCAGTGTTCTTCACCAGCTATAGAGTTTAAAACCATTTGAAAATGAAGTTTGATTCATTACGAAAAAGATCCAAAAAAAAAAAAGAGTGGCCCGGACAAAGGTTTTTCGCAATATCGATTTGAAGAAGGGCGCACAGCGGTTTTCCATACAAAACGACAAGAAGTGCCCCATTGACAGCTGCAGTCGGCTGACGCTACGCGCGCAACGGCATGTGTTGACCAGCCAATTTTCATGAGCAAGCCGTTTTTGTATGGAAAACCGCTGTGCGCCCTTCTTCAAATCGATATTGCGAAAAACCTTTGTCCGGGCCACTCTTTTTTTTTTTGGATCTTTTTCGTAATGAATCAAACTTCATTTTCAAATGGTTTTAAACTCTATAGCTGGTGAAGAACACTGAAAAAAATAAAAACTAAAAAAATGTTGATTTATTTTTAAGAAAAATAAATTTTAATTTTTTTTTAAATTTTTTTATGGAAAGCCATAATAATTCTTGAGCGATTAGTGAAAACATCATAAAGATATCTCTTACCGTTCCGAAGTTATGAATTTATGACTGAGTGCAACTTTTTCGAAAAAGTGTCAAAAATGCCATGTTTTGACCCCTATAACTCCGGTAAAACTCAAAATTTCGCAAAACCGTTCAAATGAAGTTCTTATATTTTCGTTGTGAACCGGAAAAGTAAAAAAGTTCGATGAAAATCGGACCTTCGGAACAGGGGTGGCCCACTTGGCAGATTTTGACTCTAAATATAACAAATAAAAATGCGAAATTACATTCACATTCACGCAAAATGCTCCATGCAAAATGCTCACATTTTGCCAATGGAGCATTTTGAGACTGGAGCATTTTGCGACTGGAGCATTTTGAGACTGGAGCATTTTGAGACTGGAGTATTTTGAGACTGGAGCATTTTGAGACTGGAGCATTTTGAGACTGGAGCATTTTGCCAATGGAGCATTTTGCCAATGGAGCATTTTGAGACTGGAGCATTTTGCGACTGGAGCATTTTCAGACTGGAGCATTTTGAGACTGGAGCATTTTGCCAATGGAGCATTTTGCCAATGGAGCATTTTGCGACTGGAGCATTTTGCGACTGGAGCATTTTGAGACTGGAGCATTTTGAGACTGGAGCATTTTAAGACTGGAGCATTTTGCCAATGGAGCATTTTGCCAATGGAGCATTTTGAGACTGGAGCATTTTGCGACTGGAGCATTTTGAGACTGGAGCATTTTGAGATTGGAGCATTTTGCCAATGGAGCATTTTGAGACTGGAGCATTTTGAGACTGGAGCATTTTGAGACTGGAGCATTTTGAGACTGGAGCATTTTGAGACTGGAGCATTTTGAGACTGGAGCATTTTGAGACTGGAGCATTTTGAGACTGGAGCATTTTGAGACTGGAGCATTTTGAGACTGGAGCATTTTGCCAATGGAGCATTTTGCGACTTGAACATTTTGCGACTGAAGCATTTTGAGACTGGAGCATTTTGCCAATGGAGCATTTTGCCAATGGAGCATTTTGAGACTGGAGCATTTTGCGACTGGAGCATTTCGAGACTGGAGCATTTTGAGACTGGAGCATTTTGAGACTGGAGCATTTTGAGACTGGAGCATTTTGAGACTGGAGCATTTTGAGACTGGAGCATTTTGAGACTGGAGCATTTTGAGACTGGAGCATTTTGAGACTGGAGCATTTTGAGACTGGAGCATTTTGAGACTGGAGCATTTTGAGACTGGAGCATTTTGAGACTGGAGCATTTTGAGACTGGAGCATTTTGAGACTGGAGCATTCTGCGACTGGAGCATTTTGCGACTGGAGCATTTTGAGACTGGAGCATTTTGAGACTGGAGCATTTTGAGACTGGAGCATTTTGAGACTGGAGCATTTTGCCAATGGAGCATTTTGCGACTTGAACATTTTGCGACTGAAGCATTTTGAGACTGGAGCATTTTGCCAATGGAGCATTTTGCCAATGGAGCATTTTGAGACTGGAGCATTTTGCGACTGGAGCATTTCGAGACTGGAGCATTTTGAGACTGGAGCATTTTGAGACTGGAGCATTTTGCCAATGGAGCATTTTGAGACTGGAGCATTTTGAGACTGGAGCATTTTGCCAATGGAGCATTTTGAGACTGGAGCATTTTGCGACTGGAGCATTTTGAGACTGGAGCATTTTGAGACTGGAGCATTTTGAGACTGGAGCATTTTGAGACTGGAGCATTTTGAGACTGGAGCATTTTGCCAATGGAGCATTTTGAGACTGGAGCATTTTGCGACTGTAGCATTTTGAGACTGGAGCATTTTGAGACTGGAGCATTTTGAGACTGGAGCATTTTGCCAATGGAGCATTTTGAGACTGGAGCATTTTGCCAATGGAGCATTTTGAGACTGGAGCATTTTGCGACTGGAGCATTTCGAGACTGGAGCATTTTGAGACTGGAGCATTTTGAGACTGGAGCATTTTGCCAATGGAGCATTTTGAGACTGGAGCATTTTGCGACTGGAGCATTTTGAGACTGGAGCATTTTGAGACTGGAGCATTTTGAGACTGGAGCATTTTGAGACTGGAGCATTCTGCGTCTGGAGCATTCTGCGACTGGAGCATTCTGCGACTGGAGCATTCTGCGACTGGAGCATTTTGAGACTGGAGCATTTTGAGAATGGAGCATTTTGAGACTGGAGCATTTTGAGACTGGAGCATTTTGCGACTGGAGCATTTCGAGACTGGAGCATTTTGAGACTGGAGCATTTTGAGACTGGAGCATTTTGCCAATGGAGCATTTTGAGACTGGAGCATTTTGCGACTGGAGCATTTTGAGACTGGAGCATTTTGAGACTGGAGCATTTTGAGACTGGAGCATTTTGAGACTGGAGCATTCTGCGTCTGGAGCATTCTGCGACTGGAGCATTCTGCGACTGGAGCATTCTGCGACTGGAGCATTTTGAGACTGGAGCATTTTGAGACTGGAGCATTTTGAGACTGGAGCATTTTGAGACTGGAGCATTTTGAGACTGGAGCATTTTGAGACTGGAGCATTTTGAGACTGGAGCATTTTGAGACTGGAGCATTTTGAGGCTGGAGCATTTTGAGACTGGAGCACTTTGAGACTGGAGCATTTTGAGACTGGAGCATTTTGAGACTGGAGCATTTTGAGACTGGAGCATTTTGAGACTGGAGCATTTTGAGACTGGAGCATTTTGAGACTGGAGCATTTTGAGACTGGAGCATTTTGAGTCTGGAGCATTTTGAGACTGGAGCATTTTGAGACTGGAGCATTTTGAGACTGGAGCATTTTGAGACTGGAGCATTTTGCCAATGGAGCATTTTGCCAATGGAGCATTTTGAGATTGGAGCATTTTGCCAATGGAGCATTTTGAGACTGGAGCATTTTGAGACTGGAGCATTTTACCAATGGAGCATTTTGCCAATGGAGCATTTTGAGACTGGAGCATTTTGCCAATGGAGCATTTTGAGACTGGAGCATTTTGCCAATGGAGCATTTTGCCAATGGAGCATTTTGCGACTGGAGCATTTTGAGACTGGAGCATTTTGCCAATGGAGCATTTTGAGACTGGAGCATTTTGAGACTGGCGCATTTTGAGACTGGAGCATTTTGAGACTGGAGCATTTTGCCAATGGAGCATTTTGCCAATGGAGCATTTTGAGACTGGAGCATTTTGCCAATGGAGCATTTTGAGACTGGAGCATTTTGCCAATGGAGCATTTTGCCAATGGAGCATTTTGCCAATGGAGCATTTTGAGATTGGAGCATTTTGCCAATGGAGCATTTTGAGACTGGAGCATTTTGAGACTGGAGCATTTTGCCAATGGAGCATTTTGCCAATGGAGCATTTTGAGACTGGAGCATTTTGCCAATGGAGCATTTTGAGACTGGAGCATTTTGCCAATGGAGCATTTTGCCAATGGAGCATTTTGCGACTGGAGCATTTTGAGACTGGAGCATTTTGCCAATGGAGCATTTTGAGACTGGAGCATTTTGAGACTGGCGCATTTTGAGACTGGAGCATTTTGAGACTGGAGCATTTTGCCAATGGAGCATTTTGCCAATGGAGCATTTTGAGACTGGAGCATTTTGCCAATGGAGCATTTTGAGACTGGAGCATTTTGCCAATGGAGCATTTTGCCAATGGAGCATTTTGAGACTGGAGCATTTTGAGACTGGAGCATTTTGCCAATGGAGCATTTTGAGACTGAAGCATTTTGAGACTGGCGCATTTTGAGACTGGAGCATTTTGAGACTGGAGGATTTTGCCAATGGAGCATTTTGAGACTGGAGCATTTTGCGACTGTAGCATTTTGAGACTGGAGCATTTTGAGACTGGAGCATTTTGAGACTGGAGCATTTTGCCAATGGAGCATTTTGAGACTGGAGCATTTTGCCAATGGAGCATTTTGAGACTGGAGCATTTTGCGACTGGAGCATTTTGAGACTGGAGCATTTTGAGACTGGAGCATTTTGAGACTGGAGCATTTTGCCAATGGAGCATTTTGCGACTTGAACATTTTGCGACTG